GCCGCAGCCCCGCCCCCGCGGGCCCCTCCTGCCGCAGCCCCGCCCCTAATTTTCACACCCGCGCGCAGGAGCCCTCGAGGCCCCGCCTGTGGGTGGGCGGCCGGGTTCTTTTCCCACCGCCTTTCCGGTGGAGGCGGAGGGAGCTGGTGCGGGGAAGGGGCGCTCAGCGGGACAAGGCCTCGGGGTGCGCGGAGCCCGAGCCGCCCCTCCTCTCCCGGGGGCCCCCCCTCGGCCGGGCGGGCCCCCGCCACCTGCGCCCCGCCCCCACGGCCGCGCCCGAGCCGGGAAGCGCGGAGCACGCCTGTGCCTCGGGAAGGGCGAGCCCCGCGCGGACGCGCGTTTGTGTCCGTGGACGTGAACCCGCCGCGCTCGGGATGCGGCCGCGCTGAGAGCCCGCTCGCCCGCGGACGCGAGAGCCCGGCGGTCACGGAGGATCCCTCCGGGCGCTGTGGGAAAGCGGACTTGTAACCGGGCACGATGACCAACCCGGCGGCCACGCAGAGCAAGGAAATCGACTGTCTGAGTCCAGAAGCTCAGAAGCTGGTAAGAGAAAACGCGCGTGGAGACTTTCGGCTCCGACTGCGGACGCGGTCCTTGTGGACGGGCGGCCCGCACCCTCGGCCGCAGGCGTCTGTGCCTGGTGAGGTGTGGCGTGGGCCCCGCCTGGCCGGGGACCCCTGAAACGAAGGTCCCCACTCGTGGATGTGCGGGTGGGACTGGCCCGGCCCCCCGTTCGTTTCGCGGCAGGGTGTGCGCTCTCCCCGCAGCGCGCTGGATAGCGCGTTTCAATGGACGAGGCTCCTCCCCGTCCCAGGACCGAAAGGAACATGGTCGCTCCCCTCTGCCTGCAGGGACCGCCTTTGGACCGGCTCTGCCCAGTTGGGTGACTCGGCCGCGGAGCTCTGAGACATGCTCCTGGTCTAGTGTCACTCAGAGCTGTTAGTTTCGTATTTTACAAACTACAGCACCGAGGAGTTGGTGCCCAGAGCCGGTTCCCTTAACCTGAGGCTGGCACCACCAGTGGCTGGGTGGTGTGGAGAACTTACGCTGCTCTGCACCTTACTTAGGACCACCAGGCACTGAACTGATTTCTCCACCCTCCCCCCCTCTCCCCAGACGCCAGTCCCCAGATTGGCTTTGGCTGGCCCTGGACAGGACACCCCCCCCCCGCATCCGTGGGATTTCTGTTATCCAGCGTAACACTGGGACCATGGATGTGGGGATAGTTTGGCGTTAAAATTGGGCAGGGTATGAGGTGGGGAAGGTTTGTAAGTACCCATTTTCAGGCAGCTGTGGTTGATAACGAATGGGGATATTTACAGGTGAAATGATACAGTTGGAAAAGAAACCTTTTATGAAGCTGGTACTGCAGACACCCTAGTTTTCTGCTTCATTAGGCCTTTGTGGGAGCTTGGTAAAAGTGTGACCCCAAAACAATCAGTCCTTCACAGGGTAGGAATTAATCACCTACTGGGTGTCTGTGGAAGATGCAAGCTGAAGAGACTGCCCTTACCTTGGCGGAGCTGCCAGAGAGAGGTATAGAAACAGACCCTGAGGAATACACGCTTGCAAGTTTCCTTCCTTGCTGAGGACTGCAGGTGGATTTTTAATGTGCATTTTAGTGTGCTGCTGCTGCTGTGACCTCACGGAAGATCCTACCATGGGCCAGGCCTTTGGAGCTGGTTCCTACCCCTTGACCTAATTGGTTTCCAGCGGCCTGGGAACCTACAGAGAGATTCTTGAATCACCATCAGGGAAGGGCGCTTAGAAGAGGGAAGGAGGAAGTGCTGCTGAGAGATGCCGGGGAGGTGCCCGCTGGGCAAGCCATAGCTGGCAAGAGCAGGGGGATGTGAATCCTGGGCAAGATTCGGAGACCTTGAAGCAGAAAAGAGTAAACATGTAGAGCAGGATGTGCGGAAGGGCGGCACAGAGCCATCCGAGGAATGAGTGGCAGTAACACGGGGTGGCTGAGGCCCTGGCTCCCAGGTCTCCCTAACCCTCCACTTAACCCTTGGATGGGGTCTGTTGAGAAGCTTGCCTCCTGGAGGTCGGGCACTGGCCCAGCATCCCTTCACCCCTCCCCCCAATCCCAGGATCCTGTAACCTCTGAAAACAGAAAGTCAGGTCGTTGCTTTTTTTGGTAACTTTGTGGCAGAATTCATTTGGCAGTGAGACGGGCCCTGGCGATGGAAGGCTATTTTCAGTCTTTATACCGTTAGTGTGAATATTCAGACGTTTCTCTGCAGCCCTGTTAAGTGCTTGGTTGAGGGCTGTTACTCTGGTTGTTACGGAATATATGGTGGCTGCGTCTTTATTACCCTCCTAAAATCAGAACATGTTGACTTCTGAAACACATTTGGTCCCAGGGGTTTCCAAGGAGAAGTTGTAAACCTGTAGGTGGTTTTCTTAGTAAATTGCAGCAAAAACTTTTTTAGGCTGAGACATGGGGAACAGAAGTGAAACGGCAGTCCCTGTTTTATGAGGCGAATGGTCTGCCTGAAAAGGAATCATGCTCAGTGACCAGTTGGGGGACAGGTGGTGGTGGGGGTTCCCCTCAGGAAGGGAGTCCCCCACAGTCATCCTGGGCGGTGCAGTGTTCCAGCTGGAGGCATTGGGCATTTCAGACTGGTTTGTGCCAGTTGTGTTCTGTCTTAAGTGACCCTGTGTCCTGGGAACAGGGTCTCCAGTGGGGAAGGGGGGCTGGGGGTCACATCAGTGTGAGAGGCGGGGTGAGGCAGGAGGAAGCAGAACTGTCACGCTCCCCCTCACCTCACAAAGAAAATCGCAGGATCTGAGCAGGAGCCCCAGCTGGTTACACAACAGTGCCAGCCCTGGAACTGTGTGAGCGGACCACACATTTCTTTAACTTTTGTAACTTCCCCATGTTCGAGATGGGTTGTGTCACCTCTGGTTGCTTTCCACATACTGATTAGCATGAAGCCCTTACAAACTGCCAGTCCTGTCCTGAGAGGCCGTCAGAGTAGAGCCTGGGCAGTGTCCCAAGTCCCGTCTCACGGAGGTACCTGTGCCAAGGTCCCCAGGGAGCGAGTGGGAGCGTTGACAAAAGGGGGGATGAGGGCCGGGCTGGTGGCTGGGCCTGCCTTTTCAGACTGAGCTGCTGAGCCCTGGAATCATGTGATTTGTGTTAGATGGGTCACTTCCCCAAGCAGTTAAGCTATAAAAATGGTAAGTTAGGGCTTTTCTCATAGTAGTAAGAGTGTCCCTGTAGGGCAAAGATGGAGACTAAGTTTCCCTTTTTCTTTGGGAGTTAGATTCTGTTCAGCCTGAACTGCTATCACCCAGCAGAAGCCTCCTTAGCAAAATGAAAAGAAAACCTGCAGTCTAAAGGGCTGCTTATACTGAGCACAGGAAATCAAGCTATTTATAGTTGCAACACAGTTTTCTACTGAAGTTGATTGGACTATTACCTGATTAGAGTGAGGTTCTTATCTCATTTCTACAGAATTGTGAGGCTCCGGTGTTTGCTCCTCAAAAGGCAGTGAGTGTCCAGGAGGAATTTCTTATCCCTGAAGAATCAGGCCGTGTGACTCAGCAGGGGGATCATGTGTGACTCGTTAGTTACTCATAATGCCAGCGCTCCCAGCATGTCTGTTCGTATTTCAAGACTATTCATCTTGGCGGCCCAGAGCCCAGAAGGAGCGAATTTCTAACCTGTGATCAGAGTAAACTGGCTGCATCCTGCTGTGTTAGACGTGGAGGAGGCCGGGGAGCAGCTGTTTTTGCCTCACTTTTAATTTTGAGCCACCCAAATGTTAGTTTTTTGTTTGTTTGTTTTTTTAATAAAGCAGCTTATTTTCTTGGAATGGATGTACTAGAACTTTCCTTACTCAGACTATCTAGATAAAATTAAGTAAATTAACTTCTTTCTCCTAAGTTAAAGCATTATTTTGACTATATCCAAGATTTAATCAGAATTGCTATGCATTGGATTGTAGACCACTACTAAAATCCCCATCCCCCAGCCAAACTCCAAAACAAATAAACCAAAATCAAACAAACAAGGACCCCACAGCACAGATGTGTAATTCTGAGACTCATTCATTCATGGAGGGGTGGGGGACTGGGTTTCACATGGTTTTTGCCCTAAATACCGTAACTTGACAGCTTTAAAGCAGTTAGGCCTTGAATCTAAAGAACCGCTCCTTTGTAGTGGAGACGTAATTTGTCTTAAATTACTATAGTGACGATTTACTTTTAACTTGAACCAAAACGTTTCATCTAAATGTGCGTGTGACAGAGCTTATATGAAAGCAGCATCATTTCTGACCCTCCCGTCTTTTTTATTATCTGGAGCAAGCGGGCGAGTAGTCTTCCTCAGGGGAGAAATGAGGGGTGGGCTCGGTGCGGGCCGCACCCTCTGTGCGTCTCCTCTGAAACTGCACCGCGCACTTCCTGCTGGTGGGTGCCTCAGCAAGTGTGTCTTCTCTGAGAGGAGTTCACACCGCTGGCTCTGAGCCGGTCTGGAAGACACTGAGCACTTAGCAGGAGGAGGTAGCATTTCCCAGCCCCTGCTGTGTCGGCCTTGTTAAGCGCCGCCTCTGGACGCCTTCCCCAATCCTTGCGGTGACCTCATGAGAGCCTTCCGTGTTCTCTCCTTACAGGTAAAGAGGACAGTGAGGCTCAGAAAGGTCAGGGAACTTTCCTAAGTGCACACAGCTAGCAGGCAGTGGGGCCAGTTCAGCCCCAGGCCTGCTGACTCAGAGCTGGCGCTGGTAACTGTCACCACTGTATATATACAGTGCTTCAGGCAGGTTCTCAGGAGGCGTGCCACAAGGGGCAGCCGGGGTCGCCACCAAGTCGCCACCGTTGGTTGTCAGCTTATCTTTGCAGCCTGGGGCCTCACCACCCCAGGGTCAGGGCTGAAGGGTTTCCTTCTACTAAGGCAGCCTCTTTGGACACAAGTCCTTGCTCCTGAATGCTTATCAAGAAGTCTTTCATCAAACATTTCTATTAATGGTAATTTTCAAAACAAAAGAACATTCGATGGACTTAATTTTTCTAAATGAGGAAAAGAATCATAGACATTAAAGAGCTGCAGGAATTTCTTCTTTTGTCCATCTTTTGTACTGTACTAGCATTGTAACTTACTGTGTCAGTCCGCTCCGGGACTCCTGGCCTATGAGCCTCTTCCCGTGTGTGGTGCAGCTGCTCCCCCATCCCGTCCAAGCAGACAGACTCCTGGAGACGCGTCCGTCTCTGCCCCGGCTGGTTCCAGGATGGTCACTTGGGACAGGAAAGGTGGTCTGTCAGTAGCTGTGTGCTGCTGGAGCGCCCAGCCTTACTTCAGTGCTTTGTGGCACCTTAAAGGTGTGGGCTTTGCGGGGAAGGCCCTGAGTGGGACAGGTGAAGTGAGCCGAGCCCACATGCGTTGGCTGGAGGGAACCTGTCACTTGGACGGCTGCACAGGCGAGCCAGGCTGCTCTCACCTGTCAGTCACATGCATGGCTCTGTGTGGCCGTCACCCTCTTGTTGGTGGTTCCAGCATAAAGGAAATGTGAACATTCACTCATCTCAGGAAAAAA